CGCAGTGAGACGAGTGTTCAGCGTGTTTCGCAGTGAGACGAGTGTTCAGCGTGTTTCGCAGTGAGACGAGTGTTCAGCGTGTTTCGCAGTGAGACCAGTGTTCAGCGTGTTTCGCAGTGAGACCAGTGTTCAGCGTGTTTCGCAGTGAGACGAGTGTTCAGCGTGTTTTGCAGTGAGATGAGTGTTCAGCGTGTTTTGCAGTGAGACGAATGTTCAGCGTGTTTTGCAGTGAGATGAGTGTTCAGCGTGTTTTGCAGTGAGGCAGTAAAGAGGAGCACATACCGAGAGTAGCAGGAAGCCTCCTTCCCTGGAACTGCACGTAGCATCAAGCACCATGAGTACGGATTATGTGACGCATTAGTGTGGTTTTATGTGTTATTTATTATGATTTGGTAATTTATTTTTGGGGTCTGGGAAGGCTCACAATCTATTCTATATTAAAAGATGGTAAGTAATTATTTTCTTTAGACCATCTTGGTTTCTGTAAGGATTCATAAGAATGGTCTATTCTCAGATAGTGGGGAAACTTGTATATACAACTTGAAAATGAGCTCAAAGGTTCATTGTGGCTTTATTCACAATAGCCAAAAAGAGAAAAGAATTTGGTGTCCATCACCAGATAACTGAGTAGATAATATATATCTCTATGGCTAAAACTCAAACTCATGGAATAATCATATGATTACACAATGATATAATAATTCATTGGAGATATATATATATATTCACACACACACAATGGGTATACCCGATGGATTATTATTCAGCCATAGAGAGAAATAAAGTCCCGATAGAATCTACCACATGGATGAACCTCAAAAGCATTATCTTAGTGAAGTAAGTCAGTCACAAAAGGACAGATATTGTATGATTCAACTTTCATGAAATAGAACGGGCAAATACAGAAGAACAAAGTCCTTTAGTTGTCATCAAGCATGATGGGAGTGAGCAATGGGGAATTGTTGCATAAGTGACTCTGAATGTCTGTCCTAAGTAAGGAAAATCCCTGGAGCTGGGTCGTGCTGGCAGTTATGTGGCATGGTAACGGTACTTACGTCACGATAAATACAGGAGGGTGAAGTGGCAAATGTTTTGCTCTCTATATTTTACTAAAATGAAATTAAATAAATAAAAAGATAAGGCGAGAGATACGGTGCCGGTGGCAATCAACAAAGACAAAAATATGTCCCAAACTCCACTCCTGGTTTCCCCACCCCCCGCCCAAACCTGATCCACCTGCAATCCTTCCATCTCAGCCAACTACAACTTCATCCTTCTTCTTACATTAGTACCACCATGACCATCTAGCGTGGTATAAACTCAAGAACAGACAAGTCAATCTAAACAGGAGACTATACAGTCTATTCATTTACTTGAGTACAGTATATAAATTAGCCTATTAATTTACTCAAGTATATAAAATATATACTCCAGTAGATACTGTGTGATAACATTGGTGTTTTGAATAAGTGGGAAAGGATGACTGAACTGGCTGTATACCAGTAGAAAGTGAAGCTAGTCCCTCAGGAGACAGGAGAATGCTGAATTCCCAAATGGATTAAAAATTTTAAACACACACTTAATAAAAACATTAGAGGAAACGTCTGGAACATATTGATATAGCTGGTTTCAACATTGCCTTCTAACTCCGGTCTCAGCATAGCAGCCAGCCTGGTAAGTCACACCCGCTGCTCGGACACGGCAAACCTTCCCCTCCGTGCTCAGAGCGCAAGAACATATCTTACCTGCAGCCCACAATTTCATAACTTCAACGATCCCTGTACAGCTACTCTTCCAAGGTAAAACTTAAATGATTTTATTTTGTTTTTTAAAAAAAACATTGGAAAGATATTTATATTCCATGTGCAATGTGGACTTCCTTATTTTAGAAATTTGGTATATCTTGTTTCCTGCTGTTTCTTAGTTCAATATTATAATGTTATAGCTCCTGTAATTATTTTGGTCGAACTTTTGCCTAAATTAAGAAAGAATTTTTGCAAGTATTATCTATGGCAGCAGTTCTCAACCTGTGGGT